AACCTCTGTTTAACCTAATCCCCCATCCTGGTCATGAGTAACTCCCTGCGTGTACACTTTGTCCGCAATATACGTCCCGAATAAACGTGCTCCGTGCTACACGTCTGTTTCCTTTATAGCTGGGCTATAGCTTAGCAGGTTCTGGGAGTCTAGCTAGATGTTTGAGAATCTACCATAGAGATTTCTGAGTCGGTCAGGCATTACTAAGGTAGCAATCCACTACAAGGGCCACGATTCGTTGACATCAAAAGTCACTAAAATGTCTACTACCATTGAAATTTTAAGCTCCCAATAACACAGATCATCTTTTGCTTTGTTAATGGCTAATTGGAGTGAATTATTTGTACGAAAAAACAAAATTATTTATATTTTGAGAAGGGGCAATGACAGAATTGAGGTCAAAATCTCTCCATCGCTCCACAAATCAAACACAAACCGTAATTTGGTAGGGTAGGTGAACGAGCATTTGTGGGAGGGAGGAAGGGAGAGTGGGAGGGAAGGAGAGAGGGAGAGGGGGGGGGGGAAGGGACGAAAAATCTAAGTATTTGTCATAAGATGACAGGCAATTAGCGCTCATATTACGAAGTAAGTCTCCCCGAGGAAAAGTGAAATAAACTCGGGCAAAGTGTAAACTAGCATTACGTGTTCGTAACGTACTTCCAAATGCGCTTACTTATCTGAAAATGCAATCGTAAATACATAAGCATTATTCCAATAACCAAGGGACGCTATTCTTAGAGACAGTGGTGCATGTAGAGAAGAAGAAGAAGAAGTAAAAGAAGAAGAATACTTAGAGAAATACCTTCTTTCAGCATTCACGGCAAAGGTATATGTTTCATCTTTGCTACTTAGTTATTTTCTAGCATTATCGAAAAAGATAATGATTGCAAACACATTAGCAGAAGGTATTGACAAACAAGGCTGACATTTATCTTACATTTTGCCAGTATCCGCCTTACGACATCCATAGACTTCACCGAAACCCCCGCGACCAATGATTCGATGGACACTGAAGTCGTTTGCTGTGAGCTGTAAATTAGAAAATAAAGTGAAGCAAGACTTGAGAGTAGAGATTTAGAATGTTATAAACAAACAGTCTATTTCCTACTCACGTGTTAACAGCACTTTAGTACAGATTATTGTAACTAAGCCATTACGAGACTGCCAACCTGTCGTAATACGCAGTCACTCCATAGACTTTGTCTCTACTCAGGGGGGGGGTTATTAAACACGCACCAGTGTGGATACCTTTGCTATATCAATATGTACTTTATTAACTATGTCATGCTATTTGGGCTCTGGCTGTATGCACCTTCCTCGCATATATTGCAATAGTGCAAACATTCACTGTCCATTTATATTAAAAGCATGAATGTGAGCAAAGATTAGGCATGTGAATAGTACTTTAATTTTGCTGTGAAGTTTCAATTCACACTATATTGATACACTAAAATGTTAATTATTCAAATTAAAGCAAAGTGCCTTCTAATTCACGTGAGCATCTACCTTTATTCCTTTAAAAAAATATATAAAGAAAAACCTTCAACAAATTCAGGAAACTCAAACCATAAAAAAACGCGGCCAAGCACTAGAGTTAAAAATTTATAATTTATTTTTTCATAAATGAAAAAAATTAAGCTGAAAACTAATTGAATTACACTCTTGTGTCTCGATGATTTTCATTTGTGAGTGAGAAAAAAATGAACGTAAGAAATACGGCAAAATTAACAGTAAAACGAAATAAGCAATTTTGCTCAATTTTGTGTGTCGTGATACCTTGAGGAAAGAGAGAAAACATGTTGATCTGAAGTCCTGTCAATTTCCCAGCTCCCTGTCAACTTAGGGGAGGAGAAAAAATCACCTCCACCAGAGAGGCAGTGTTTATTAACACTAATCAAACACAGAGAATTGACCTCTTTATTGAAAAGTGTGTTTTTATTTCTTTATTTTCTTATGCTTAGTAATATTGATTTAAACCCGGTTCTGCGATCGATACCCATGTTGGCAGTCATACAGGCGTCCAAAGTGCCATAAATAGTGGTACGTGAGTAAAATTCCACTAACTACACTGCTGTTGGGGAAGACAAATTGAATTTTATCATACATCTCTGAATGCGTCTACCTCACGTGACGTTCATAAGCGTAATGACCCCAGAAACTTTAAAAGCCTTTCATTGAGAATGAAAAAGGCTCAAAGAGAGTTGGGCAATGAAAGGTCAGGAATTAGAAGTGGTATTTAGCCTGAATTTAAAAATACTTCCACTGCTCGAAGTGCATATAACTATGAAATGCTTCTGAGGCATGTCCTGAGGATTCAAATGTCACTTGAAAACCCTTGTGCGAAATTTTCTTGGGTGGGTACATAGCAGTTAGTGCCAATCCGGTTCGATTCTAAATAAGAGGCAAATTACGCATAAACTTTACAAATTCTTTTTACGGCCTTTTAGTGCACTGCCGCTTGCTAAGGGCAATTAATCATTTTCTATAAAATAAACTTTATTTATTCTGAAATAGAGAAAATAATCACTATGAGTATTCATTATTTATCCACTGTTTTGTAGACACAATTAATTGATACGTTCAACTTAACAAAATTACTCCGTTTGAGAGAAAAAATGAAGTCTCTTAAAAAAATTGATTCTGTATTGATTTTTTGCTAACTGCCGGATGATTACTTCTAATTATCGAAATGAAACAAAACATTTCTTGTTAGTTGGATCATAATTGCTACAAATCACTAATAATTGCGTTTGCATGTCGAATAGTCTGTGCCTCTCTCAACCATGCAAACAGGGAATTAAAATGTCCAACTTTTGGGAAATAAGAACTTTAAAAAGGAGGTATATTCGGCCTTTTCTCCTAAAACTTTTGCAATACAGGCTTAAAACAGAAAGTTGAGCAGTGCTTTTGTTCTTTCAAATACTAGCCAAGCCCAAAGATCCTTTCTTTTGTCAAATCCTTTGAGGATGCATTCTAGCCAAGGTCAAAATCTGAGAAGATTTAAACAAACGCATTCAAACAAGCAATGAATTTATAATGAAAATTAAAGCAAGCGATATGCGATTGTCTGCAAAAGATCAGCCAATTTTTACCAAAACACCCTAGACAGTGCAAATGTAACAACAAATTAATAAATGGCGCTTAACTTTTTTCATTCATCTAAAATTAAACCCAACTTGAATAATTGCCACGTTTACTGACATTAGCGTTGTTAGCCTCAACCTTTTCCACACTCTGATGTTCAAAAAAATTCAATTTGTCAACGATTGCCAGATGTCCTAAGCAAATGACACGATTAAACTGGTGGTAATGCCAACAGATCCATCTTGGTAAAATTAGGCGTTTAGTTTAAATCAAATTTAGTTAAGCCTTAAGCTGAGATGAATAGAATCAGTGTTGATTGATTAGGAAACCATAAAGGCACAAACTCGAGTTAGGAACATCAATTAAGAGATAGACTTACCTCCACGTGGTGCGCCCTAGGAAACGTATACTCATACGGCAAAAAAGTCTATTAACTGACTTCTCACTTCAAACTACCATCACCCCACTGCATGTCATATTCGACTAATTTCACAGTACTCACCTCAACTGTCTGTCTCTTTTACGTCTGTGAATAATTATTCTGTCTCCTTCTCGACTTTTTTCAACTTAGATGTTCCTCTTCTTTTCTCTGAAGCCCGAAGTCAACTAAAGGGCTAATGATAAATATCAGGACTTTTTACCACTTGGATGTTTATCTTCCTTTCTGTGAACTTTTTGCCACTTTGGTGTTCCTCTTCCTTTTTGTGAAGCAGGGCGCCGGAACTAAAGGGCTAATGATACCTACCATAACGCCTGCCATTTGAAATAAATAAATAAACGAGATCAAAGTTTGAAATGCGTATACAAAATTCTTCGATTTTTCCACATGTACGGCAAACTGTAAAAGTCTAGGTAAAATCAACACCAATTACCTCAGACAATCGAGTTTTCGAATAAATAAATAATTGATTTACTGTTAACTACAGCCAAGCCATTTCAAATAAAGAAGTTCTCTTCTCAAGGGTGTTAGTTCGAAGAAAAATGCGAAAACTTATTTGCTAGTTAATCTGGATCTAATGACGTCAAAGAATTGTCAATGCACTTAACGATTGAATAGATAAGATAACTTACATTAAGATTGAGTTCTAGATTCTTCCACTGGCAAAATCGTGTAAATCTAGGAGATCGAACGAATGCGTCGAAGATATCACCTCGAATGGAATCACAAATCTCAGAAAGGTAGGGCTAAATAGGGAAACAAATATTATCCGAATCAATAAATTTTTTCCATTGAATGTAGTAAATGTACTTTGCAGCTTACTGAAAATGTGTCGGGAGGGAGAATTCTAGTTTTTTGGGCATTTGTAAGAAGTTCCAATACACGGTCTACTGTTTCTTTGGAGAATTCCTAAATGATAAAGAGCCAGTCAAAGTAAAATCGGGCTCATTTTGACTACTAAATCCCCTTTATTTATTAATCTTTTATTTCCTAGAATATAATTCGTCTTAAAGGAATAAATATTCTTCATTCGCTCAACTAATGATGTGATGTAAGTTTCGTAGCGATCATACGCACCATTTATTACTTAAGATTGGTTCACATTAATTATTGCCACTTGGTATTACAAATAATATGTAATGAATATATTAAGTTAGAAGATGAATAAATAAATATTCGTTAATAAGAAAAAATTTTATTGCTAATAACCTGTCAGAGTATCCTTGGTAAAACACAAATTCAAATCGATATATCTATAAATGGCACAGAAAAATGAGATTTTTAAAAGATAAGTGAAGTTAAATTATCAATCGAAACCTGACTTTGACATGAAATATATTTCTTTTAATATGAAACAAAGATAATGCAATTATGGTCTCCTTCTCCCTTTATTATTTAATATAAATTTATTTTATATCTATCTCCCAAAATGTAATATTAATATTAAATGGGAAGGTTATGATAGCCATAAAAAAACAATTAGAACAAAATCGATTCTCAGCTCGTGCGATTAATTGGGTTATAAATAGATTTATAAGCAATATGTTCCCCCCTATCCACTCTGCCTGGTAATCGCAAATAACCTTGAAATGAAAGGTCACTTTCCCTTTATTAACAACGGAAATGTATGTATTTATGCAATTCAATCGAAGCCAACTTCTTTTGGAAAGCCATCGAACTATTTTCATTATTTAACCCGAAGAAATCTACTTACTGAACAAGCAAATGCTGCGGTGTTGTTTCTATAATTAAAAAAATGTGAGGGGAGGGTGGAGGGGGGAGGGTAATTTAATGCATGATTTGGAAAAACGACATAATAGTTCGTTCTTCCCTCTTGCCGAATATCGGGTTGAACTTGTCTTAGACAAATCTCGCCCGGGGAGTTTGGCTCTAGCGTTTCTTAGAGGGAGGTCACTTTTGGACCATTAACATCCATTTGTATCCTGTTGTGCAGTC